TTATTATTGATCTGTGTTGTATTTAGTTAGGAGCGAATAAATGAACGAATGAATAAACAAATGGTCCTCGTCATTGATTACTTTCTTTTATTGATCAAAATGACAACATACAAAGTTCACCTTATTGTTCTTTGTGCATGTTCTATGTATAAAGCACTGTTTCGAATCCATTTGGCCCACTTTAGAAGACTTTTGGGAGAATTCCTCTCTATCGGTAATGTTAAGTAGAACCACGGAGGAAGCCGTGTTGCTGGAAGTGTTGACATCATTCAGCTACTCGATTGGTGTAGCATGATCACGTGTCGAACTGTGCCACCGCTTGCGCACCAAAAAAACGATATAAAAAACGGGCAGGATATTTTGCGACGAACATTTTGCTGTAAGTTTAACGTAACTCATTCTTATTTATGAAGTTGAGACCGTGTAGTTCCCAGACGTCGGAGCGAGTTGAAACGATAATCGGGTTCACCTTATGGCCTAAAATGACATTTCACACCCCCACACAGTACCAGTTAGCTAATTATCACTCTGCAATTATTTTATAAAATATTATTGTTGCTATTATTGGTACTATTATTAGTAGTAGTATTTTTCAATTTAAATGTATTAAATTTAATTAAGTTAATTAAACTTACTTTATTTATTTATTTTTGCTCATAATAAACATGCTTTTTATACCCTTAACTAATTCCCATTCCAGTCTTTATATAACATGTATTACTAAAATCAATGGTAGTAGTACCAGCAATTTTTGTAGTAGTATTTGTTATGGTCAAGATGAAATAGGCTCATTACTTCAGGAAATAGCCATTAACTCAGCAAAATGTTAGCCTGGTGAGGCTGTGTGGCCTCACATGATGTACGGCCACACAGTGTAGAGCTGTGTGACATGAAAAAAACAAAAGAAATATCACTGACGGTAATAATGTGTGTTCATTTTAACGGCTATAAACTGAAGAAAAAAAATAGAAGGAGATTTATTGGTGGACATGAAAAATCGACCTCAGCTGCTGCGATCTCCGTATCATCCAGAAAACAGTCTTAATTCACGTAACGCAGCGTAGAGACATCATTACTGCGGCTGGTTGGTGGCTTTTTTTTTTCTTCTCAGC